CCCCCCACCCACACACACACACTCAGGGAACTGTGCAGGTGCATTCCTCGCACGCAGCGACCTGATCACGGACACAACATTTGCCAACAACCAGCCGACGAGGGGCGGAGAGGAAGGCACAGACACAGCGGTAGCAACAGCAACCACTGACCAAAAGGGAGTGTGCGTCGGAAGGACATACACGGGCGGATACACAACACGAGGATAAGGCAGCAGCACAGCACATAAGAGGGCCCATACAGCGCTCGCATTTTCCACTCACCAGTTGGCAGACAACACATTGCTTCTGCACACAATGGAAGAAACTGAGATGCTTATGGCCGCGAATCACATGCAACAGGAACCCGATCTCCTACCACACACNGCTTCTGCACACAATGGAAGAAACTGAGATGCTTATGGCCGCGAATCACATGCAACAGGAACCCGATCTCCTACCACACACACCATCCTCTGTTAGCAAGCAGAGCAGCCTCTTGCCAAGCCATCTCTGTACACCGAATGATCGCAATGGAGAGGTACCGATGCAGTTAAACGAAGGGCAGTCGCTGACAGCAACAGTAGACAACCAGGCGGAGAAGGCAGCCACATTAACTGCTGCGAACGACGATATTTCCAAGTCTTGCTGGCAGGCGACCAAGAACAACAACACCCCTTGGTCGTTGCACCCACGTGAGGCGTGGGCAACACCGAGGTCGACGCTCAACCCTGAGGCCAAGGAGTTCAAGTTGCCTTCTGGCAAGGCGGACGACTCGTTTGCTTCATCTGTTATGAGCATGAATGCGGCAGCGATGCTGCACATGCCGTTAATGTGCAACGGTGGCAGCAACAGTGGTGAAGGTGGCGGTGCCCCGTTGGCGATTCCGCTCTTCGCCGTGCCGTCCATGACGGTCGAGTGGCGCTCCACAACGGGTGTTATGTGCGAGCCGGCATTCGCCCCGGCGGGTGGCGTCACATGCGAGGCGGTCTTCGCCCCTGCCGCGAAGCCCGACAGGACGCGGTGGCCGCCGCCGCCCTCACGCCATGCCGGCGCCCCGGTGACCCCGCGAACATTAGCGGGGCTCATCATGGAGGACTACGCCGAGGAGTGCCGCAGCACCGGCTGCCACATGGTTGCGGTCTTCAATCTGGAGCCACGCACAACGCAGGAAGAGCTTCTGAGCATATTCTTTCCAATGGGCGCAAAGAAGGCGGAGTTGCTGCCCCCACACCGCTCACCGCGGCCGAATCGTCGTGCCGGCGTGGTATTCTTTTCGTCCAAGGCCTTTGCCGCGGTGGCGGTCGAGAAACTGCACGACTTTGTGCCGAACCGACAGCACCAGCCTCTCAGGGTGCAGTATTGTGGCCCTGATGCGTCGGAGACAGTGACCCGAGAGACATCAGTCCAGTCCACTACATCGCCTCACTCGCTACCATCGTCCACGCGATATTCACAGCCTCAGCAGACGATAACGACTCCAGCGATGGTGCCGACGTCCCCGCTGCAGCCTTGGCGTTTGCCGGCGGGAGCGCAGCTCGACCGCATTCATGAGGAAATGTGGCTTTTTGTGAAGAGCAGCTTCTCTTCCTACCAGGGCGTCCTGAAGCATGTCGTTGCTGTCCATGGCTTGGACCGCAATCAAGCACAGAACGTGCTGAACTGTAACTTTCTTCTCAAGGGTGCGGAGAGGTATGAGATGTGGCCGGCGAAGGCCTGCGGCTTTGTTTCATCTCCAATGCTGTGTAACGGTGTAAGTGCCCTCGTATTTTACTCGCAGGAGGTGTTGGCTAAAAATGCTGTTGCGTGGTTCCAACAGTGGCCACCAGAGGGTCAGGCGCAGCCCATCGACGTTGTGTACCTTAACGGTCTGGCTTTCGCATCCAGCAGCCCAGCGACTGGCAGCATTCAATCGTGCAGCGATATACAGGAAACCAATAGTGCTCATGGCAGTGTTGCTCAAGCCTCTACTACTTCTCTTGCGGTGACTCCTGTCAGCCCTTCCCACATCGCGGTGTTTGACAAAATTGACGCCTACTTTATGCGCGAGTATGGCGATCCAAATCTGTACCTCGTTGGCGTCCACAACCTGCTGGCGAATACCGACAAGAAGGCTCTTTTTAGGCTTCTTGCTCCTCATGGGGCACTCGATGCGGAGATGTACCCTGGTGCAGTCAGTGTTGGTGGTGAGGTGCGCAGTAGTGGTGTGGCCTTCTTCGATAATGAGGCTGTGGCGCGCAAGACTGCAGAGAAGCTGCACAACTTTGCCCCATTCAAGCAACCCTTCCCAGTTGTTGCACGCTATTTGCTCAAACCTGTTACAGCGGATGTAAAGGAGAAGACAAGCTCTACGGCGGCGACAGCGGCGGAAGTTGTGTCCCGCGCAATGGGCGGCGCCAGGCCGGATCCATTCCTATCTGCTGTCGCGGAAGAGCTCTACGCCCCCATAGTAAACGCCGACCAGCTGACAGAAAAGATGGTACAACTTATGGAACGCCCAGAGACCACGCAAGAAGTGGCTGGACAGCTGGCGTCTGTGATCAATGATACCCTTACGGCGATGAAACACCATGCAGTGAAGCTTTCGACACCACTTGTGCACGCGTTGCTGGGCTTGCACGAGAAGCTGAATATTCCTCGAAGGAAGTCTAAAGACCCGGTCGTGGAGGCTGAGGTGCAGGAACCTGTCGTAGCACGGAATATACTCCTCATGCAGATTATTGCACGTGCGCTGATGAATCTTCTTATGGATAACTCCAAGCCCCATGAGTCGCGTATGGTCGCTGCTGTTTTGTGTGGGTATCTCTTTCAGTACAGCTACCTGATGAAGAGCCCATACGAGCTGGCGGTCAAGCTGATTGTGGCGAACGAGAAGTCCCTTGACATTGCACGAGACCACCGAAAAAATGGTCAGAATGCAACGATACCGGTGACCATCGTCGAACTGGAAGAAGAAGAGCAGAAACCGTGGGTGACGTTGATGCAGTGTCTGGAACAGATGACGTCTCTCTGGCGGCAATACAACAAGTCCCGCGCGAAGAAAGACCCTTTCCGAAAGGAGTTTGAGCGGCGTGCGAATGACTTCTTCCAACGGAACGCCACAAGTGTAGGTGGAACCAGCAGCTCGCTCAACACTAGCACACGTCCCACTCCTCGACGTGTGGTGGCCAAGGTAACGCCGGGAACTGGTAGTGGATGCAGCAATAGTTCACCCGGCCTGACGCAGGCATCGCCGGTGGCACCACGCGTGGATCTTGGTACATTTGTGGACACCAGCGGCTACTCCAACGACATGTCAATGGAGAGCAACCCCTCCGTAGCAATGGTTCCGATGTCGTTCATGAGCGACCCCTCCGCCGTAGCTTCGCTGTTGGTCGATAAAAGCCGACCTGTGCTCAATGTGCTGTCACAGCAGCAACAGAAGGATCAACAACAACAACAACAGCGGATTCCAATAACCCGACCAAATGCTCTGGATATGGCCTCTGCGATGGAGTCAACCAAGCCACCACCTGGTTTGCGTACGTTTGGCACCATACAGGGAGTGTATACGCATGCTGAGCTCATGGAGCGCACCGTCTACATTACTAAGCTCCCTGCTACACTTCGACGCTCGCAGTTTCGCCGACTCCTGCTGCATTTCGGAGAGTTCAACAAGGTGCGCTTGTGCCGCGACGACCACCAGTTTCAATCGAAGACCGAAGCGAACGGCTTGACAGCCGGTGAGCCACCTGTTGCGCTTTGGTTCAGCTTCGTGGAGTTCGCCGAGCAAAGCAGTGCCAAGGCAATGATTGAATACTTCCGCAACACCATCTCCAATCCGCAGCCCTTTGGTTTCCTCCTTGACAATACAATGGCGTGGCCCGATGCAAGTCGGTTTACAGTGGAGAATATTCAAGCGCTGCTGAACGTCCGCACAAGCCCGGCGAGGAACCCCATTCATGATCAGTTACCGCTCGATGCTATTCTGACATGTGCGCCACAGCAGCCGAAGCTTGTGCTTCGCAATCGACCCTGCCATTTCGGTTTAGAGGGAGGTGAGAGTACGCTCGATACCGGGGCCGACGCCACATCGATGCCGCCACTTTCCCAAGCTGCTCTCTCGAACTTGGCCGCCGGCCGATATACGCCCGGCTCCGTAACAATGACGGTGGCGCCTGCTTCGGCAACAGCGTCAAGAACACCAACAACAACGACGGCAGCTGCAGCAGCAGCAGGGACAACAGATCCGTGCCTTTTGTTAGCTGCGGCAGCCCAAACGGCGGAGCGCACCAGCAGCGACGCGGTGGAAGATGACATGGAGTTTCACAGTATCATGAACGCTGTCGTGCCATCTGCGCCGTCCGACGTGTGGGGCTTTGAGTGTGCGAGGGCCGCGGTGCACAGCAACGATCATCTCTTCGACGCGACGCAGGTGCCGTGGCTGAAGAGTGTTGCCACGGAAGGGCACGGTGGCGGCGTGTGGGCGACGGATGCGGGGAAGGCGGCCTTCAGGGCATACGTGGCGCCGCTCGGTAACCCCCTCATCGAGGACGACGAGGACAGCGGGTCCGACTAAGTCAGCCGTGCTTTCGGCGGGCGAGCAGACGTGCCGGTGTGCGTGGCGCGGCCGCACCGGCAGCCGCATCCCTGGGCGGCGCCGAACCCCCGGTGGCTTCATATATGCATAAATGTAATACACCAAAGGAAAGACACAAGACAGCAAAAAGAAAGAAAGAAAAAAGGAAAGAAAAAAAAAAAAA